TCAAACCGTTTGGAGAAAATATCCTTTCTAATTTATTCAGCTGTATTCATTTGCATTCGTCATACTATAAAATAATGTAAAATAATGCCATGGAATTCTAAGCAAATCTTGTCAGTTAAATTAACTAGTCTAGCCCACAGCCATATGGCATAGCCAGATCAGGGCTTAACATAAGGACAACTCAGAGTATGCTATTCTGTTCTTCTGAAATAGACTATATTTCCTTCATATCATGTTTCTTTAGACCTGTCTAAAATAGATAATGGATTTATCGTGAAGGTGTAGGCTATATTACATGGATTTATTTCAATACATTTTTTTTTATGTAGATGTTCCAAAGGTCTGCATCAGTGACTTGTAGGCTATGCGTGGAAGCCAGGAGATGCTAAACGTGTTTATGTTAATTAACGGTACATTACCATGAGACCGGCAGTTATTTGATTGACTAGTATTCCTCTTTTCCATAGGTATCAATATGTTACCATACCATATTAGCATAACACCAATCAACAGACACATTTCTATATGTTCGTCAGTTACATGATACGTATATGACATTTACAAATATTTTTTCTAGTATTCATTATGGTTTTGTCTTGCTAAACAACATTCATAGCATTCATATGTGATAGCCTTTAAAACAATAATAGTCATTCTATTTATTCCCTTTTTATTCACTCAAATTATTGACATATTATCATGGACTATGATTATTAGGTTACAATTGTGGGAGTAAGATCATCAGATTGTAATGGACTCTCAGTTCTAATCTGATGGATACTTAGTGGTCTAAATTTACTGAATAATGGTGGATGGGGAGAAGACCAGACGCTTATTTGCATAGTGATTATTCTCTGCATAGACAGCACATGCTTCAGTGGTCTGGGAGTGTTAATATCCCTGTGAGTTTAACACTTCATGACTGAGAGCTGTCCTTCATGACAACAGAACCCACAACAACCATGACTTTTACCACCATCTTCATCTGGACACTTGCCCTCTGCTTGAAAATGTGTTATTAATGCATGTTGATATTAGTTTTCTCTGTTTCAGAATCCAGAGGACAGTACACTGTGACTCAGACTCCTGCAGTGAAAGCTGTTCTCCCAGGACAGACAGTCTCTCTGAGCTGTAAAGCCAGCAGTAATGCGTATCCTAACTGTTGGAATTCAGGTAAACCATGTTTAGCCTGGTATCAACAGAAACCTGGAGAAACTCCTAAACTACTGGTCTACTATGGAAGCACCCTCTTCTCTGGGACTCCATCTAGATTCAGTGGCAGTGGATCTGGGAGTGACTTCACTCTGACCATCAGTGGAGTCCAGGCTGAAGATGCAGGAGATTACTACTGTCAAAGTGTACACTGCCCTAGTGGCTGTGTTATCACACATTGATACAGAGCAGACAAAAACCTCCCTCATTCAGACTGCACAGTGACTGTACTGCTACAGCTGGGACCTACTGCAGGTGCTGAGGGGGAAGAGACAGTGACACGGAACACTGGTCACTAGATGAGGTCAACTGTGATGTGACAATATGGTTAGAAAGCAATCATTCAGATCACATGACCATCATCATCATTGTCATAATCATCATGGTTGTGACCATAGAATGACATATTTACACTGAACAAAAATATGAACGCAACATGTAAAGTATTGGTCCCATGTTTCATGAGCTGAAATAAAAGATCCCAGAAATGTTCCATACGTACAAAAAGTGTATTTCTCTAAAATGTTTTGCGCAAATTTGTTTACATCCCAGTCAGTTAGCTTTTCTCCTTTGCCAAGATAATCCATCCACCTGACAGGTGTGGCATATCAAGAAGCTGATTAAACAGCATGATCATTACACAGGTGCACCTTGTGCTGGGGACAATAAAAGGCCACTCTAAAATGTGCAGTTTTGTCATACAACACAATATCTCAAGTTTTTAGGTAGCATGCAATTGGCATGCTGACCGCAGGAATAACCACCAGAGTTGTTGCCTGATATTTCTCTACCATAAGCCTCCTCCAACGTTGTTTTAGAGAATTTGGCAGTTCGTCCAACCGGCCTCACAATCGCAGATGACGTGTAACCACACCAGGCCAGAACCTCCACATCCGGCTTCTTCACCTGCATGTTAGTCTGAGACCAGCCACCCAGACAGCTGATGAAACTGAGGAGTATTTCTGTCTGTAATAAAGCCTTTTTGTGGGGAAAAACTCATTCTGACTGGCTGGGCTTGGCTCCCCAGTGTGTGGGCCTGGCTCCCCAGTGGGTGGACCTATGCCCTCCCAAACCCACCCATAGCTGCACTCCAACCCAGTCATGTGAAATCCATAGATTAGGGGCTAATTAAAAAAAAATCAATTGACTGATTTTCTTATATTAACTGTAACTCAGTAAAAACGTTGAAATTGTTGCATGTTGCGTTTATATTTTTGTTTAATATATTAGGATCTCTGTGGTTGTGACTGGTTATATTTTTACTGACCTGAAAGTTCATATAAAAGTTATTTGAAGATTTAAAAACAATACCAGTCATAATTCCACAATACCAGAAGTCCATAAGAAGTACAAAATGTGATTTAACGTTAATATTTCTTCATTTCAAATCAAATCATATCCCATTTTATTTGTCACGTGCCGAATACAGCAGGTGTAGACCTTACAGTGAAATGCTTACTTACAAGCCATTAACCAACAATGCAGTTTTAAGAAAGAATACCTAAAAAATAAAATAAACAAAAGTTACAAATAATTAAAGAGCAGCAGTAAAATAACAATAGAGTCCATAGTTGTTAGTCATGGAGCATTCATGGCTTCAGGGTTGGCATCATGAGATTCCGATGCGGTAGTCGTGGCCTTTCTACCAGATAGCAACCTTTCTACCAGATCGTCTGACATAAAATACATTAAAAATATGTCATATATTTTTTATATAACGTAACTTAATTGCAGTTGTAAATGTTTCATCTAGTGACTGATAGCTTTACAGTTAATGTTACTTTACAGTCTTTTAGCTATTTTACACAACATTTTATGTAATATAACTATATAGCTAGCTAAGTTTCTTAGAAAGAGCTTTTCAATTGGCATCTCTCCCCCTGTTTTCAGTCACAGGTGGGGACTGGATTAGGTGTGAGCAGTACAGGAGGTGGGCTCATGAGTTGTGCTCCAATTTGACTGGGGATAGCTTTATTTGTGACCTATGTTCAAATTAGAATCATGCAATAGCTGAGCATAAGAGAGTTACCACATCAATTACCCCGGTCCATTAAAAAAACGCCCCTTTTCTAAAAACAACATTTCATGAAATAGATTAAAAAGTGTCAACTGTAGCTATTATTTCCCTTCATAGTTTATTTTCCTGAGCATGACCTTCATCCACATACACATTTTTTCCCAAACGTTGCTTTTTTGTGTCATTAATTAGGTATTGTTCTTAGGGGTGTCTAGTTACCCCCTAGTACCCTATAATACCCATTTTATCTGTCATTATTTACATGATGGCATATCTATTGTTTCTCCCTCCATGAATCCACCATAGAGGTTAAAACCAGTCACTCCCTCACATGTGGCCCAGTCCAGGGTATTTCAGGCAGTGAAACTGTTCAACTGCTAGACTGGTAGCTGTGGGAGTGAAACTGAGATTTGAATAGACATGGCTGGGTGGTTCTGCTTGTCCCAGAATAGAGCAGCACTGTCACCAGATGTTCACTCTGTTCCCAGGGGGTTGGAGGTAGAGAATACTCTGACTATCTTGAAGCTGTGATACTGGTAATATTATGTGGATCTTGTCAAACAAATTTAGCTATATGCAGGTGTGATCACATTGGTGAAAGAACAAGATATCGATCAAATGTTCAATGACGATAGCTTACTGTCTTTATCAGTCTATAAGTCAAGCAGATAAAACACTGTCCAAGAAAGATGAGTAAGGAGTTCCATTTACTGAATGTGTCCAGACGTCTCCTGTTAATCTGTTGACATTGGAGTATCTAGACCTCTCATGTTAATCTGTTAACATTGTAGCATCCAGACCTCTCCTGTTAATCTGTTAACATTGTAGAATCTAGACCTCTCCTGTTAATCTGTTAACATTGTAGTATCTAGACCTCTCCTGTTAATCTGTTAACATTGTAGTATCTAGACCTCTCCTGTTAATCTGTTAACATTGTAGTATCTAGACCTCTCCTGTTAATCTGTTAACATTGTAGTATCTAGACCTCTCCTGTTAATCTGTTAACATTGTAGTATCTAGACCTCTCCTGTTAATCTGTTAACATTGTAGTATCTAGACCTCTCCTGTTAATCTGTTAACATTGTAGTATCTAGACCTCTCCTGTTAATCTGTTAACATTGTGTATCTAGACCTCTCCTGTTAATCAGTTAACATTGTAGTATCTAGACCTCTCCTGTTAATCTGTTAACATTGTAGTATCTAGACCTCTCCTGTTAATCTGTTAACATTGTAGTATCTAGACCTCTCCTGTTAATCTGTTAACATTGTAGTATCTAGACCTCTCCTGTTAATCTGTTAACATTGTAGTATCTAGACCTCTCCTGTTAATCTGTTAACATTGTAGTATCTTGTGTTACTATGACCTACAGTTTGATAATTATGTGTTTTCAAGTGAATAACTAAGCTATGACATTTAGGTCTGATCATTTTCAAAGAAACTGTGAATCAGGCTTTACAAATATATTTCTGACTAATGTCTAATTATTGAAAGAGACAACGAAAATATTTGTTCCAAAGGAAAATGTTTATTTTCATCTATTAATCAAAGCAAACATTCCTAAAGTATCTAATTATTTAAAAAACAGAACACATCAAATCTAACACTGATAAAGCCTCAGTCTACAGGGAGGATTGACACATGAACTCAAGCAAAGCCTCCTGTTAGTCTACATGTCAGTGATCAATAAGACAGAGAACATCTGATCTCAGAACAGAGTCAAAAAAGAGGAACCAGCAGCCTCTCTCCACAAGGCTGTGTGACTGAGGGGTCCTACCCAGAACAGTCAGCCCTCCTCAGGGTCTTGGTGACTGTAGTCTGGGATTTCTGCTGGGCTTCACAGGTCACCTCTCCTGCCTTGGTCCACTCCTGGGCAGTGAGAGTCAGGGTGCTGCTCCAGCTGTACAGGCCGTCCTTCTCCAGGACCCCGGGACTGGCCTCCTGCTTCTTGCTGGTCCCGTTCACTTTCCAGCTCATGGTCCAGTCTGAGGGGAAGCCCTTGTTGGCCAGACACGTCAGTGTGGCTGTTGTTGTCCTGGACAGCTCCTCACTAGAGGGGGCCATGACGGTGAGGGTGGGGGCACTGTTACCTGGAACAAACAGAAATCATCAACTAAGTAACTACATCAAGTACAGCTACAGTAAGATATTATCTTCAGCAAAGTACGCATCAAAATAAAGTGACCTCTTAAATATGAATGTAGAAGTTAGATAGTTTAAAAGATGTGGAGAAAACACTAAAGTAATATGATACAAAGCAGATTTATGAACCAAACAAGTATAAAGTGGTTAAATAACTGTCACGTTCGTCTAGAACAGATGATGAGGACCAAGGCGCAGCGTTGCAGGCAAACATACTCTTTAATAGAGACACGATCAAAACAACAAACGATACGTGACAGTTCACGGTCAAACATAAACAGACTTGAAACAAGATCCCACCAACACAAAAGGGAAAACAGACAGTTTAAATATGGCTCCCAATCAGAGACAACCAACGACAGCTGACACTCGTTGCCTCTGATTGGGAGCCACTCAGGCCAACATAGAAATACACTAACCAGAACTCCCAACATAGAAATACACCACATAGAATGACCACACCCTGGCTCAATAATTAGAGTCCCAGAGCCCGGGTGTGACAGTACCCCCCCCTAAAGGCGCGGACTGCGACCGCGCCTCAACTTGAACAAAACAGGGGAGGGCTGGGTGGGCATTCCTCCTCGGCGGCGGTTCTGGTTCCGGGCTTGCCCACCACCCTCCAATAATCCCCCCATAGCGCCCTTGGTCCGGTCTGGCCCCGCTGGCCGGAGCTGGACTGCACACTGGTGGAACAGGCACAGGCCGTGCCGGACTGACGACGCACACCACTGGCTTGGTGTGGGGAGCAAGAGCGGGCCGAGCCGGGCTGACGAAACGCACCACTGACTTGGTGCGGGGAGCAGGAGCGGGCCGGACCGGGCTGACGAAGCGCACCATTGACTTGGTGCGGGGAGCAGGAACGGGCCGAGCCGGGCTGACGAAGCGCACCACTGACTTGGTGCGGGGAGCAGGAACGGGCCGAGCCGGGCTGACGAAGCGCACCACTGACTTGGTGCGGGGAGCAGGAACGGGCCGAGCCGGGCTGACGAAGCGCACCACTGACTTGGTGCGGGGAGCAGGAACAGGCCGAGCCGGGCTGACGAAGCGCACCACTGACTTGGTGCGGGGAGCAGGAACTGGCCAAGCCGGGCTGACGAAGCGCACCACTGACTTGGTGCGGGGAAAAGGAACGGGCCGAGCTGACGAAGCGCACCACTGACTTGGTGCGGGGAGCAGGAACGGGCCGAGCCGGGCTGACGAAGCGCACCACTGACTTGGTGCGGGGAGCAGGAACGGGCCGGACCGTACTGGGGACACACACCACTGGTCCTACACAGGGATCTGGAATGGGCCGGACCGGACTGGTAACACACCCCAGTACCTCTCGCCGTGCCTCTACACCTTACATCCCCTCTTCGACCAGTGGCCCCCGTAACCTGGCGGCCTCCTCTGCCAACCCGCTGGGCCGCTCTATCGCGGCCTCCTGCTGCCCCGACAACGTGAGCCCCCCCCTAAAAATTTTCTGGGAGTCTCTCTTCCCCGTGGGCCAGGCCTCTATAGTTCTCGCCCAACTCTCGCTCTTCTGTTTCCAATTCCCGCCATTCAGCTCCTCATTCGGCTTGACCCAGTCGAAGCTCTTTCTCCACTGTTCCCAAGTCCACCCTCTCTGCTCCTCACTAGGCTGCTTGGTCCAGTTCTGGTGGGATCTTCTGTCACGTTCGTCTAGAACAGATGATGAGGACCAAGGCGCAGCGTTGCAGGCAAACATACTCTTTAATAGAGACACGATCAAAACAACAAACGATACGTGACAGTTCACGGTCAAACATAAACAGACTTGAAACAAGATCCCACCAACACAAAAGGGAAAACAGACAGTTTAAATATGGCTCCCAATCAGAGACAACCAACGACAGCTGACACTCGTTGCCTCTGATTGGGAGCCACTCAGGCCAACATAGAAATACACAAACCAGAACTCCCAACATACAAATACACCACATAGAATGACCACACCCTGGCTCAATAATTAGAGTCCCAGAGCCCGGGTGTGACAATAACTAGAGTTACAAGTCATACGGTGTCAGTTATACATGTCATACAGATATTGTTTAGGAATGGATCTGATCAGAATAGCCTACTCATATTCATAGTATTTTCATCACATATCAACCTTGTTAGATCATGAAGTCTGTTACAAACATAACTGAGACCCTTTGTCTTCACACTAACAGTGAAGTCTACCATGAACACAATTCAACAATGATGAATACTATATACTATACTATTAAATAGTTGTTATATCAGAATTAGGAAATATACAAATCAGACATACAAATAATCCTACAATTTATCATTTTGATTCCATAAATATCTATTTGAAAGAAGGCTCATTCAAAAGCTCAATTTAACCAAAAATATTTGAGAGTTAAAGATCAACAATCGCACACAAACAGTAATACACAATGCAACAACTATATTCAATATTATCAAGTAGTTATCATTCTAGAATTATACTCTGCAATCCATCAAACCAGACATATACATAAACACCTACATTTTAACATTTTGGTTAAACAAAATGTTATTTGAAAGAAGGCTTCGTCAAAAGTAATAGAAATAACTATATTTTTTTGAAAGTAAAATATGTTTAAAAAAATTGCTGAAATAAATATCAAAAGAGCTTGTTACTTACTTCCAACATCAAGTCTGGTGCCGCTACCAAAAGTCAACCACAGTGATACAATCCCTATTACTGCTGGTACAAAAACATCTCTGTGTTGTGATGCTGCAGCTGTTACAGTGAAGATCACTCATACAGAATCATCATCAACACAAATACACGTTAACATCTTACAGGTAGAACAAACACTTTATATAAGCTGTTTCTAGATAATACAAATGTGAATTGTATCTTAAATCCAGATATGAGTATTTTTTCCTTCTTCTGTGTATCAGGTGTTCTCCTAGTCTGGAGGTGCAGTCCAGCATTAGATCCAGTGTTGCTAGTATTCCTCCATATTGTCCATATGAAAGACAACAGCAGCAGCAGTAGTGATAGTGATCCATGTTGTATATTCCTTTATTAAAGATGTTGATCTCACATTTAATAGTGGTGGTAAAATCACAGAGGACAGACAACACTACCAGAGGAATCCTACCAGCTTTAGTTTAGAGAAGTGTTCACTAACTGATTAGAGGAACTTACATGAGAGACCAAGCAAACAGTTCATTATATCTGATCATCATCAGAATAAAAATACAATGGTGGTGTGACATAAAAGTTGCCATGCATTAGTTATCTGAGTAAACAGTTGCTGTTTGATGTTATTAAAGGGGCAGCAGGTAGCTAGTGGTTAGAGCGTTGGACCAGTAACTGAAAGGTCGCTACTTTGAATATCCGGGCCGACATCCAGGTGAAACATATGATGATGTGCCCTTGAGTAAGGCACCCTAATTGATCCAAGGTCGCCGTTGACAATGGCAGACCGTGGCCTTGACCCTAGTCTCCGAGGATGTCTCAGGGGGAGTTGGGATATGCAAAAAAATACATTTCCAATTTACACGTGTATAATACACGTGTGAAATAGGGCAAATATAAGCACCCACCTAATTATTATAAAACCAATCTCACGCAGGACAAAATATATACTAATGATGGAAGCCTACTTGGAAACTGAACTAGATTTGAAACATTCATTTGCATAATATATCTGCTCCGCTGCTCTGAGAGCATATATATCCCTGTGAGTTTAACACTTCATGACTGAGAGCTGTCCTTCATGACAACAGAACCCACAACAACCATGACTTTTATCACCATCTTCATCTGGACACTTGCTTTTTACATCAAGGGTAAAAAAAAGGAGTTATGTGTTTGTATAATGAAAAGTAAACAATTTGAGTGGACTGAAAAATTGTTAAGAATGTTTTTTAATTCCTGGTAATGTACAATTACTTGTTTTTTCTTTCAGAATCCAAAGGACAGATCACTGTTACTCAGACTCCTGCAGTGAAAGCTGTTCTCCCAGAACAGACAGTCTCTCTGAACTGTAAAACCAGCAGTAATGTGCATAGTAATTGTTACAATGGTCAGTCACTGGGCCATCAGTGTCTATCCTGGTACCAACAGAAACCTGGAGAAAAACCCAAACTCATGATGCTCCCAGGGAACACACTCCATTCTGGGACTCCTTCTAGATTCAGTGGTAGTGGATCTGGGAGTGACTTCACTCTGACCATCAGTGGAGCCCAGCCTGAAGATGCAGGAGATTACTACTGTCAGAGTTTCCACTATCCCAATAGTAAATATGTGTTCACACAGTGATACAGAGCCGTACAAAAACCTCCCTCAGTCAGACTGCACAGTGACTGTACTGCTACAGCTGGGACCTACTGCAGGTGCTGAGGGGGAAGAGACAGTGACATGGAACACTGATCAGTAAGGAGGTCAACTTTGAACATGTTTAGAAAGCATCATCATGTTCCCCATCATCATCATCATCATCATTGTTATCATGGTTGTAACTCATTATATTTGTCATGACCTGAAAGTTCACCATCTTCATCTGGACAAACCTCTCCTTAAGTACCCGAGGAAGTCCACACACATTTTATTCCAGAATTATAACAGGTGACCATTTGCTGATTACGTGACCATTTGAATCAGCTGTGCTAGTTCTGGAGCACATCAAATAAGTGGACCGTCTGGGGGGACTTGATGAGAGGTTTGGGAAACACTGCCCTGAAATGACCTGTCGTACAGTCAACACAAAACCTCTCTCCTGTCACGCCCTGCTAGAACCTTCCAACACCTACCTAGCCTTTAATTGAGCCCAGCCGAGGCTCGTTTACCAATCAAGGCCATGATTGGCAGGGCAATCAACCCCTCCGATTAAAAATGCTCCTGCTCACACAGATCTCTTCAATTACACTGTCTCCGTGGGACTAAGAAAGTCTAGAGTGTATGTATTAGTTGTACACTGTAGCAAAACGTTTTGCATTGGAAAAAGATTAGAAACGAATACGTGAGTTTCTATTGGACAAATTCAGCTAGGTCCCACCCCGTTTTGTTCCATTTGCTACTGTTTGCTTCCATTTGGTTCCGTTAGGCTACTAGTGAATACACCTCAGGGGGGTGTATTCATTATGGAAACCGTTTACCGTTTAAGATACTTTATTGCTTGGTTTAATGGACTTCAGAGGTCATAATGGATGTAACTGATGTCAATTTCTAATGTGGTGTAACTGTGAATAATATTATAATTTTTAATTCTACTTTTTCTTTATGTTGTTGTTGTTTGTTATTGTTGTTTGGTTTTATGTTATTATTTTAACATTATTTTATTATGGTCCATTTAACTATTCTTGATATCCCATTTTGTGCCTTGCTTGGACATTGGTATTGTAGTTGTCACGTCCTGTATTTTTGTTGGAAAAAAGAAACAAACGGAAGCAATCAGAGCAAAATGAGTTTCAATTGGAAAAATTCAGATAGGTCCATCCCTGTTACGTTCTGTTTGCTTCCGTTTAAGAAACGTTTTGCAACAGAATCGGCGGAATGAATACACCCCTGTTTGCATAGATTGGATACTTTGCATAGACAGCACATGCTTCAGTGGTCTGGGAGTATTTATTGCCCTGTGAGTTTAACACTTCATGACTGAGAGCTGTCCTTCATGACAACTGAACCCACAACAACCATTACTTTTATCACCATCTTCATCTGGACACTTGTCTTCTACATTCAAGGTATAAGAATTATTCATATCTAAGTAATGATAATTGAGTAAGTAATCATGCTTATCTCAGGATAATGTATTAATTGCATAATTTCAGATATTAAAAAGTGTTCTGTTTGTTTCTCTCACCATGTAATATTCAGAATCCAGAGGACAGTACACTCTGACTCAGACACCTGCAGTGAAAGCTGTTGGTACTGGAGAGACGGTCAACATTGGCTGTAACTCAGCTGTAGTATATACAGCAATTATCTGCGCTGGTACCTACAGAGACCTGGAGAAAACATTGACAGCCCCCCACTTCATTGTCCACCATAGTTTTTACCCTAGATAGTCAGTCAAAAAGACGAGCTCCTGCAATTTCATGCCCCTTTGAAGCTCCTTCTAAGTGGGTGGCAGGTAGCTGAGTGGTTAAGAGCGTTGTGCCAGTAACCGAAAAGTTGCTGGTTCTAATCCCCAAGCCGACTAGGTGAAGAATCTGTCTATGTGCCCTTGAGCATCCACTTAACCCTGTAAGTCGCTCTGGATAAGAGCATCTACTAAAATGTAATGGAAGGGCCAGAGAACTGGAACACTTATTTTACCCAGCTCTGTACAGGACTTAGACACAGTCAACAAGATACAGTCATGTGTAGATGAAAGTTGTCATTTGTCTGCTGGACAATGTAGTTACACAGGTCAAATGGGAGCTATTACCAGTCCACATGAGAAGCCAAACAAAATGTGTTATGACCTCAACATTACTTAAACGTTACAATCACTTCAGCCCCCCCAAAAAGTCCTCATATGGACCTCACAACCAAATGTAGGTTACTGACTGCTAGACCTGTGAATGACACCTGATGCTGGACTCAACCATGAGACACATGTACACTATCCACATACACTATCTACACTACACTTTCTACACTACACTATCTACACTACACTATCTACACTACACTATCTACACTATATACACTATCTACACTACACTATCTACGCTATATACACTATCTACACTACACAATCTACACTATATACACTATCTACATAAAGTATAATACTAATTGTATCTGTCATTAATTACATGATGCCATATCTGTTATGTCTCCCTTCCTGAATCCACCATAGAGGTTAAAACCAGTCACTCCCTCACATCTGGCCCATTCCAGGGTATGTCAGGCAGTGAAACTCTTCAACTACTAGACTGGTAGCTGTGGGAGTGAAACTGAGATTTCCGTAGACAGGGCTGGGTGGTTCTGTTTGTCCCAGAATAGAGTAGTACTGTCACCAGATGTTCACTCTGTCCCCAGGGGGTTGGAGGTAGAGAAGATCTGGGGGAATATAATGGAGAAGTTTACACAACACATTGTTGAAAACCATTGCTAAAAACATCTTATTTAATAACGTCATATTGAGAATTAATCGTTGTAAATATACTTATGTTATGGAAAGTAACTAATTAGTTACTGAGAGCTGAACTTAGAGGTTTATTATCAAATATCACTAATTATTATCACTGGTATTGATGCTACAGTATAACAAGATCATTCAGTTGTAGAAATGATTGCAGAGTATTTGTTGGATCAGATGCCCTTTTAATTATGTTTGAAAGCATGAGAGTAGATATAAGTTACAATGCTAAATAATGAAAGAAGCTGAATGATTCTAAATTATTATGAAATGTGTTGCCTATTCCTGAGATAGTGATCACTGGAATCATGATTAAATCAACTCTTGGGGTTATATTTAAATCAAAATAAGCTTTATTTGAACTCAGAGGCAAGAAGACATGCACAATAATCTCAAAATAGTTAATTAAGCACACAACGCTACTGATATTATTCACTATTATACTTTAACATTCAGCTCTAAAACACTACAGTGACTTCTCCGGAAGGTGGCAGAATCACTGATGTCTTTGTGGGTGACCCTGCAGGTGTACACCTCTCCCTCTTCCCATCGTGCCTTGCTGAGGGTTAGGGTGCTACTGCGGCTGTAGTACCCTCCCTTCTCTTCTTCTGTGGTGGTCAGGACCCCCTCCGTCACCTCCGCCTCGTCCACCTCCCAGCTCACCATCGCCCCCTGTGGGGAGTAGCCGCTCAGCAGGCAGGCCAGTGTGACCGAGTGCTGGAGAGCTGCTCAGAGGACGGGGGGAGGAAAGACACTGAGGAACTGACATAGGGACTAGCTTGAAGAGAGGAGAGGGTCAGCTACTACTACTACTCTATATTATTAGGAGAGGAGAGGTGATATATTCATTATTAATGACTAATTATTACACCCTGAAACTGTGTGAAATGTGTTAGAATGTGTGAGTGTAGGACCATTGAGCTACTATTTAGCAATGTGAGTAAGAGTTAGACCAGACAACAAAGGACAAGGAGAACTGTCTACAGGCAACTGAGAAACCAAGATAACTGAGGAATTTAGGGAGGAGAGAAACTGTTAGGCTTTTTAAGGAGTATGAAATATGGTGCAGGATATTGTGAGGCAGCCTATGTGTGTATGTATGTGTGTGTGTGTGTATGTGTATGTGTGTGTGACCTAATGGTTAGGAGAGCAGTTTTAAAGTGGAAAACTACAGCCCGCCTACAGAGAGGAGGGATTTTTGTATGACGTATGAGTATAAAAGATGGACTCTGAAATTGTGATGGCAGAATTCTCAATGAATAAATCTCTGACTATGCAGACCGGGACTCTGTCCGTTCCTTCATTTTGGGAGACACACAGAGACACTGAAATAGTTTGTTAAATAATTCACATAACAAGAGGAGAGGAGAGGAGAGGAGAGGGTCAGCAACTACTACTACTACTACTACTACTACTACTACTACTACTACTACTACTACTACTACTACTACTACTACTACTACTCTATATCGTTAGGAGAGGCGAGGGGAGAGAATACTTTGTGTTATCAGTGAACAAAAACATTTCAGATCAACAATACACACAGGATAAACAACTAGCTACAGTAATGAGAACAACCGAGAACAACAAAACATTTAATCTATAAAGATAAAAGCAAAAAGAAAGGAAGTTATAGTATAATGCAATAGGGACTGATAGTATTGAAGAACTAGTATAATACAATAGGGCAGTGGCGGTTTTACACGGAGGCCGGGGGAGGCCCGTGCCTCCCTGGAAATGTCCCTGGCCACCCCTGTGCCCCCCCCGTGCTGACCAAATAAAAAATTATGAATTTATAACTATTTTACACGCGAGCGCCAAAAGCGGAACTAATGCAACGCTCTACACGGCAACGTTCTACACGGGTAAATTAGAGTGGCGCACCCAAAAACTGTATCCTGCCATCTGCCTGCCTGCCACGTGTGGTGCTGCTTCGGTGAATGAGAGCTCAGCAACTACTATTTGCTTCCTGTAAGCTCAGCCTCTTGCGAACGCAGTTTCTCCACACTGAAACTGATAAAAACCTTCCTGCGGTCCACCACTAGTGATGAGAGACTCAGTGATCTTGGTGTCCTGAGCATAGAGTCCAGAAGGGCCAAGGCTCTGGATCTTGATGTATTTGTGGACCGTTTTGCCAGACAGCACAACCGCCGTATCCTGTTGCTGTAGTGTATCTATATGATATATACGCTAGTAGCGTATGAGTGCCGCTGTGAGGAAAAATAGATATAATGAACAATAAAACAACAAGCTTGAGCTTCTTAAGACACGGTGGGTTTATCTGTTCTCAATACCACCGGTAAAATGAATGGAGTTAGTCTGGTGTCCACATGAAGTTACGTGTGTAGACAAAGAGTCTGGTGTCCATATGAAGTTACATGTGTAGACAGAGACAGTCTGGTGTCCATATGAAGTTAGATGTGTAGACAAAGAGTCTGGTGTCCATATGAAGTTACATGTGTAGACAGAGACAGTCTGGTGCCCATATGAAGTTAAATGTGTAAACAAAGACAGTCTGGTGTCCATATGAAGTTACATGTGTAGACAGAGACAGTCTGGTGCCCATATGAAGTTAAATGTGTAAACAAAGACAGTCTGGTGTCCATATGAAGTTACATGTGTAGACAGAGACAGTCTGGTGCCCATATGAAGTTACATGTGTAGACAAAGAGTCTGGTGTCCATATGAAGTTACATGTGTAAACAGAGACGGTCTGGGGTCCATATGAAGTTAGATGTGTAGACAAAGACAGTCTGGTGTCCACATGAAGTTACATGTGTCTACTTAGATGAACCCACCGTGTCTTAAGAAGCTGAAGCTTGTTTTATTTTTCATTTTACATCATCTATCTTTTTTTCCTCACAGTACCAGTAGTTCCACACACTACTAGAGTGTATGTATGTTTGTATGTATGTATATATATCCCACCAATCCTCTCTCAAGAGGTTTTCAAAAAAAGGGGCAAACTCATGTCTCAAGACCTGCTTCTGTTGGTTCCCCTCTCCTGCCTGTAACTTTCCATCCACATCCCCAAAGTTTTGTGGCCCATTATGACATCACTCCATTAAGTGATTGCTGCATGTACTGCTCTAAGGAAACACTTCTCTCTCTCTCTCTCTCTCTCTCTCTCTCTCTCTCTCTCTCTCTCTCTCTCTCTCTCTCTCTCTCTCTCTCTCGATAGATAGATAGATAGAGTTTATGATTTTATTCTTTTGAATTATCTCTGCCAAACATCTATGTACTACAAATCTTCAAGCTACACAGATGTTTTATGGCATCCACTAAACCTCTTTAGATATTTGTAAATTATACAGTGTGATACCTTTCAACGAAAGTTTATTTTATTTTTTACCAACTATGATTTTTCCTTTTGAAAACAAGCAAAGCAAGAAAAAAAAGAAACAAAATCACTCCAATCATTGCACACTTGTGTCGTTCAGACTTTGCAGGTCCAGCTTTGACATGATGATCTAACTAACACTAATATTGTAACTAATATTGTAACTGAAATATGTATGATCCTATGATGAGCGATTGCTTACTTCCCTTTCACTCTTAAAAAATTACTGAAAAAAAATGTGTATAAAAAGGTATATGTAGTATATGTTTGTTTAGTGAGCATTCATGCTGTCATTTTTTCCTAATGTGAACTATGGTGGAAATGTGCTGTCCTAAATGGACTTGCCCATATATGTTGTAAAGCCTTTTTTTGTACACCTGCTCATCAGCTGACAGTGAAGTACACAAAGACACAGACACACACACACACACACACAGACACCTGTAATATTATTTTTTTCATGTTGTTGCTGATATCCATCAGTGTTGTTCATATTGCTACATTGTGTTGACATGATTGTTGCTTTTAAACGAATGTTAACTTAATGTTTATTGTCTGCATCCTATTGGACTACTGGATGTTAATGTGTAACACGTTTCCCTGTTTATGTGCTTTAGCAATACTGTATGTCAATATGGTCATGCTAGTAAAGCCTCTTTGAATTGAATTTCTTTTCTGATTTGGTTTATTTTACCTAAATGGATACAGGGTAGTGTGTTTTGTTTATACATCACTCAGAAAGTTTTCTTTCTTAAAACAAAATGTGGAATCAACTGTCCACAGTAGTGGGGCTTCCATAAATAGGAAATGGCACATTGTTGTACCCTTTGTTGTATCCTGAAGTTTTGTTCACATTGAATATGAACCCTGTATTTGTACCCTGTACTTTGTAAAAAAAAAATTTTTTATTTTATTTTCATTTTTATGGCACTATCTCTCTTGCATCTGCACTCTTGTACAAAATACGTGTTATAATAAATGTCATATGATTTTAAAGCAAAATAAAGTTTATAATCTTTGAATATCATGTGTTGCCAGTTTTTTTATGTGTGCCCCCCTGATTAAACACTGGCCCCTCCTTGGCCCCCCTAGTAAAATGTGTCTAGAACCGCCACTGCAATAGGGACTGATAGAACTGAAGTACTAGTATAATACAATAGGGACTGATAGTACTGAAGTACTAGAAGAATACAATAGGGACTGATAGTACTGAAATACTAGTATAATACAATAGGGACTGATAGTACTGAAGAAGTAGTATTAATACAATAGGGACTGATAGTACTGAAATACTAGTATAATACTATAGGGACTGATAGTACTGAAGTACTAGTATAATACAAAAGGCACTGATAGTACTGAAGTACCTGCATAATAGAATAGGGACTGATAGTACTGAAATACTACCAGGAAGAGGGCGGAGCAGACCGAAAGTGAGTTTAGTTGAGGTTTTGTTCCGGGCACAAACCGAACAGGTTGAGACAAACTCCTGGACATCTCTCTCCATAGTGGGCCACCAAAAGCGCTGACGCAGGAAGGCGAGTGTCCGGTTCATACCAGGGTGACAGGTGCGGTGGGTAGAATGGCCCCACTGAAGAACATCAGAGCGAACACAATCTGGGACAAACAGAGCATTACTAGGACCGTTACCCGGGTCAGGCTGGTTCTGCTAAGCCTGGCAGATACAGGACTCGATCTCCCAGGTGATGGCGGCAACGATGCAGGTGGATGGCACAATGGCTTCTGGCTCGGTACCCGTGTTGTCGGTGGTGAACTGGCGAGAGAGGGCATCAGGCTTGGTATTCTTCGAACCGGGGCGATAAGTGAGTGTGAAATTGAATCTACCGAAGAACAAGGCCCACCTGGCTTGCCGGGAGTTCAGATGTTAGGCTGTCTGGATGTAGGACAGGTTTTTATGGTCAGTCCACACGATGAAGGGGGTTACAGAGCCCTCCAGAGCCAGCTTAACTGCCAGGAGTTCCCGGATTCCGATTTCAAAATTCCTCTCAGCAGGTGAGAGCTTACGGGAAAATAATGTACATGGGTGGACCTTCTGATCAGAGGGGGAACGTTGAGACAGAACAGCACCTACCCCGGTGTCAAAGGCGTCCACCTCCACGATGAACTGGAGTTCTGGGTCAGGCTGAGTAAGGACCGGAGCGGAGGTGAAGCGACGCTTGAGTTCCAGGAATGCTGCCTCTGCCTCAGGAGTCCAGTGGAACGGAGTGGAGGTGGAGGTGAGAGTGGTGAGAGGTGCTGCCAGACAGCTGTAGTTGTGGATGAAACGTCTGTAAAAATGTGCAAACCCCAGGAAACGCTGTAGCTCCTTCAGGTTGGAGGGCGCAGGCCACTCTGTGACTGCCATGACCTGGTGGGGTCCAAA